GTGTGTGTGTGTTTGTGTGTGTGTGTGTGTGTGTGTGTGTGTGTGTGTGTGTGTGTGTGTGTGTGTGTGTGTGGACCTTCTGTGATTTGATATAATCAGTCCTGGCAGATTACACAATGTCATCAGTAGCTATCATGTAATTTAAATTGTTAAAATAACTTTTCATCTTATTTCCCCCAACCTGGCTTCAAAGCCAAGTAAAAAAAAAAACACAAACACACACTTGTTAAAACTTTTCTGCACACAAAAAAAAACTAGCGGCAGGGTTGCTGAAATGGACGTGGAGGTGTTATCCTTCCACAGGCAACAAAAGCAAATTTTCACATTGTGCAAAACCACAACCCTCACATTCTGACATTTTCATGATGAAAATGCTCTCTCCCTTTCATCTGAACACCCCTCTCACGTGCACAGAAAGTGATGAAGGTGTCAAGCAGCAAAAACTTTTTGAGACAAAAACTCCAGCAAAACTCAACAAGTTGAGAAAAGAAGCACACACACACAAAATATTTTTTCCAGTATCAGAGGCAATATCCTCCTTAAATTTTCATCTTAGGCTCAAGCTGCCACAATAATTTTGCAGTTTTTGCAAAGAGGAGCCTGAGGGTCTACAATGTTAATCAAAACCCTGGTTTCTGTAAGAGAAAGAAGCTGTAGAGAAAAGTCAAGAGAAGGGTCCAACACCACCGAGCCTTTAGATGGCCACGCAGTGGAGGTGAGGCATCTTTGAAGTTCAGGAAGTAAAGGACTAGATTCTCTTTTTGTCTGCTTTCTTCAGCCTGCACCAGGCGCTGGGTGTACATCCTGACAGATCTCTCAGAAGCTTTGCTCATGCACCACACCTGGGCTTTGAAATCTTGAGACATTTTCACAGCCTGTAGCAAAGGCCGCAGATTTCATCTACACTTTTCATGAGCTAAATTCAGATCAGCACACGAGCTGATGCTGTGCTCAGTCATGTGTCCGCATGAAGACAAAGTTCATGGAGACAAGTGTCGATGCAAACAGCATCACTTGATTTCATCCGAGAGGTCGAACAATTAAGCAAGAAAAATAATAATCACATTTTCTGTTAAAGTTTTTTTAAATCACTTGGCTAAAACTGAAAAGAGAAAATGAAGCTTTTCTCCTCATTCATTTGTTTGACCAGTGTGCTAATCCTACACCTGGGGGGTCAGTTTAGATATGACTCAGGGGGGCAAACATTTCCCTACGTTGGCTTCCAAGAAGCCCATTTACTTAGAGGCACTGTAACAAAATGCCTGATAGATAGATAAATAGATAGAAAGATACTCAAACTGAAATGCGCCAGTAATAGAAGCAACAACAAACTGGGAGATTTACAGTCCATTAATAAATCACAAATTATGCCTGACCATACAGGTGGTGTTTCCAGGAAGGAGACCGGACTGACCGGGTTCAATACAAACACCTTTCAGGGGAATAATGCAGAGGTGAAGTTCATGCTCAGAGGATTCATGCTCATCTGCTCTCTCTGCTCCACTGAGTCCACACTGTGACACATATCAGTCTGATGTCTGCTCGCTTTTCACAGGGGAAATAATCCTTTGATTTATTTTACTCCCGAGAACAGAATTACTACAAAGTATTACAATGAGTAGTTGAGGCTTTTAACTGCAGAAAAGTAGAATTAGCATGCTAGAACATCACGACAATCAACGTATGAGGAACTTAAAAGAATAAAAAATGAGCTGTCATTTTAAAAATGAAATTATACCCGCCCATTTTAAAAATTTATTTTTGTTGACTTCAGCACTTTAGTTAAGTACAAAGTTTAAAAAAAAATCTCTATATTTATAAACTCTGAACAATCGAGTTTCTTTCCAAAGTAGGTTTGTCAAATTGTGGAAATGATCACTTCACATCACCAAGGAAATTGCAGTGGGTGGCTTCTGTATGGTGCCTGCATACAGACATGACAATGCAGTAAGAATGAGATCTTTTCATGACTGGCACTGCATGAAGCCGTTTTTAGGAATGTTTGGAAGTCTTCTGTAGTAGCTCTCTCTCTCTATGTGTGTCTAAAAGCAGAAGTGGGACTATTTCAAGGTTTTGACACTATGACTTGTCACTTCCTGTTCAGCTGTTTGCACGCATATGCAGCTTTTTCACAGAAACATGTAGTGCCAATATTTTCAGATAGCTATACAAGTGCTTCCTCTTACCATATAATAAACTCATCTAATAACTGAGCGGTGATGTGCACTGCCCATCCCCGCTGCTCACCACAGTGTTATTTCAGGAGGGGCAATAAAAGTGACAGGGCTACGAAGGCTTAAAAATATGCCACTAATTCCTTGCGTGATTAATTATGAAGCCTAATTTTTTTTTTTTTTTACATTTGAGTTTATTTTTTACTTACTGGCGACAAGTCCTATGAAAATACTGAGTATTATGGGTTTCTCCAAACTTTGTGCTTTATGCCAACGTGCCAACGACTAGTAAAGCATATCACTGAGCCACACTGTTGCACTGGGTGACATTTTCCTTCATTATTAGCTCATATTAAGTCACTCCTACACCGTCCTGCTGCTGGAAATACCCAGTAATACATTAAATGTGTAGATGCTGTGTGTGACCTGTTTTAAAGATTTACAGCTTCAGTGTAGGACTATGCTAGACTACAAGTCAGAAAGCATTAAGAAATATATGCTAGTCTTTTTATAGAATTAATTGCTAAGAAAACTGTAGAATAACAGCAGTTTTAGCCTTTGAGGTGGTGGCATGCGGCACTGCAAAATTTAAATGTTAGCAGTGTGTGTGTGTGGTGACAGGTGCTCGTGTCCAGCAGCAGCTGTTGACTGGCAAGTTTTAGGCACAGAAAATAAAACGTACACACGGTGACAAAAACTGGACCTGAATTCTTGTCCGGACAGATCGGCGGGTGCGCTCATGTAGAAGAGTCATCTCCCTGGTGAACTCCCAGTTGCTCTCCTCCTCTCATTCTTCTGTCTTGCATCCCCAGGACAAACCCTCTAGCCCTCCCTCCCTTCACTCCACCCTCTGCTCTTCCCCTTTCTCTAACCTCTGTTTCCCTCCCCATCGTTTCCCCTCCCGCTTCTACCTGCCCTAACCCATCCCTCCTCCTCATCATCCAGTTAGATTTTTTAAATGTCACCACCAGTAGTACTGTCTCTGTATTACACCACCTCATCTGTTTCAATGGTATTTTAGCTGATAAGAAAAAAACAAACACTTATGAGTGTTTATGTGCGAATGCGCCTGGATCAGGCTGAGGGAGCGTCATTACTGTCGTGTTTCCCATGAATCAGACTGGCATGCTGGCAGGTTGGGTAGCTCCAGAGCTGCAGGTCAAAGACCCACCGGTCTCCAAGCAAGTCCATGTATATGTGTATCAGCCTGCTGCAAAAGCATTCTCTAACACCCAGCAGACAGAGCTGTTTCCTTGTGGTTAGACCCGTCATGTTAAAGACTAAATCTGTCACCCAGGAGTCAGAGAGCAGCCACCACCACACTGATGATGCCTGCACACTAACATGTTTGGTGTTTTTCACCTTCTCTCGGTGAACTCTGTACAAAAAGTCTAAGTGCCGCCCCCACATGCAAATGCCCCTCTGTGTTGTGTTTTCTACGGTTTCCCCCTTGCCAAGTTCTGATTTCCTATAAAAGGCTCCAGTAGACGTGAATTGCCAATATCAGTGAAGCAAAAACAAAAGAAAAAAAGACAGCTACTCATCTACATTACTCTCATACAGTGTAGGTGAGTCAGTCCATTGCTGAACAGATGAGTTTGTTTTCACGTGTATTAAATGCAGCAGTGGAAGAAGACTCCTTTCACCTGTTCTTTGCCAGCTGCTAAAGGGCTGCTACCATGATAGTGTTTCACGAAGGATTATGGCTGACTGTTAAACTGGACTCGCCTTGGAGCCAGAGAGACCCAACTGGGACCATTCGGTGGAAAGTTCGGTCTTACTCCTGGGGGTTAAGAGTGTGTGCACTCTGGCCACAAGGATACAGAGCAGTCACTGCAAGAAGCAGAGCCCAGGATTTATTTGTAATTGTGAATGTTTTGTCACATAAATTCTTGCAAAGGCAGACTTGTCTGCACAAATTCAGACATTTAAAACAAAGTGTTGAAGACTTGTTTTCAAATCAAAGAGCAGTGGATTAATGTGCAGCATAGCACGATTAATACGGGGAGTGCCACGTCGGGTATTGTTTGAACTTCTCCAACACTGTATCTGACTTTCAGTCCTGATTGGTAGCAAAGCAAAAAAAACCTAAAAAGAGTAATGTTAGCTAAAACAAACAGTGTTCCCATGTGTATTTGGCCTTTATGCAAACTGGATTAAATGCTGCACTTCCTGGGAAGTATTTTCAGTGAAGAAGAATATATTTTTAGTGCTCTAGTGCAGAGGTGGCAAAAGTACATACATTGTTTACTCAGGTAGAAGTGCAAAAAGGGGGGGGCTCTGGTAAAAGTAGAAGTACTGAATCGAACTTTTTACTTGAGAAAAAGTAAAAAAGTAAAGGCTCAGGAGTGCACTCAAAGTATTAAAGTAAAATGTATTTCTACCTGCTGGTTCTTTGCGAGCCTAGTGCCATAGAAATATATTTTCCAAAACTATTAAACAATTCTAACTTCAAATTAAATAAAAAATACCAAATATAATAAGCACTTCAGGTCTAATTAAGCCTTAAAGGATAAGCCCAGTCATTTTTTTAGTCTCCAGAAACTAAAATATTTTAAAATGTAGGGAGTAAAACCATTGTTAGAAAAATAAAACCCCAGTACAGATACCTGAAAATTTTACTTAAGTACAGTAACAAAGTATTTGTATTTCACTACTTCCCACCTCTGCTCTAGTGAATATTGACAGCAACAGGACAGTGTTTGTGGGATTGAGTCAAAATATAAAAAAATTACCAGCTTTGTCCTTTAAGAACTACTTTACCTAGACAAGAATGTTGTCAAGATCTGTGTACTAGGCAACAGGAAGGAGGGCCCAGTAGCAGACACACAAGTGGGCGGCAGAGTCAGGCTCAGGTCCAGGTCCATATCCAGGAAACAGGGACAAACAAAAGACAAAACACATTAACAGGCAAGTTTACAAGAGTCACAACATGCAGAACACGCCGCACTCACTTGAGAACATAACAATCTGACAAGTGTCGGGGGAGCCATGCTGGTGTACAGTACACGCCAGAGAGCTGATGAGTGAAATGTAAACAGGTGTGTAGGTAGGCCGGGGGGGTCTGGTAATAGGGAATGGAGGATAGGTGTGCCGGCGGCTGTGGACAAAGGCAGAGAGTTCGAGGACATCTGGTGGGTGGATGGAGCGTGGCATTAACATGACAATAATCTAAAATTCTAAATGAAATCGCAAAATATCTGGTTGAAGTCAGTACTAAAAAAGTAGTTCCATACCCAGTCCTAGAGTAGTGAGTCACAGTGTGTCCCAAAAAGAAATCACAAACTAATCCATTATAACAGCACGTGAGAACTGATTTGACAGTTACGATAACTAACTTTATGAACTCCCTGTGCATGGGGAAAATATTTAACTAGCCTTTTTGTTGTATAAACACATGCATGTACACACAGTCATCCAGTGGCACAGATATAAAATCCTCATCAACGCAGACAGGTCCTCCAGGAGTCCCACTAGCCTGTTAACAGTAGCCTCCAACATACTGTCTCTTTACACACCTCACTTGTTTTTTTCACCACTAAATGACCACAGTGCTTCACGCTGAATTTAAATGAGATGAATTTCCATCCAGAGAGATGACAGTTTTTGTGGTTTACCTTAATAGCACTAACCAACATGCAGGGCTCTCTTCTTTGCAAAGGCTTTATCAGACTGAATGATCATTATATGTTCAACTTTGAACAGTGTGCTAGTGTATTTACAGCAGTGATCAAATAGACATGAGATCTTATCTTTGTTGCACTCACACCAAAGAAAGACAAAAAAGGAATTAAGAGGGTGCTTCTGAAAAGCCAGCTTTTTTTTATATGCACTCTTACGATGACTAATTTAAGTCATGCACAGTATAGAACGCGTTAATCACGTCTATACTTCTCTTTCAGTTCATTTGCATTGAAACAAAACATGTGCAGGCAATTCCCTTATTTAAAGAAATGTGGTATTGAAAATGCTTCTGAGCACAAAATGTGGTTTAAAATAAAAATCAGTGGTTTTCAGATTGAACAAATCAAGGGGGTGGCGGGTGGTTGCCCATTAGTCATTACAGAGGTTCTGTCGCCTCAGGTGCTGCTGGCATGATTAAAGCACCTGGGCCAAATGTCAAACATGTTGCCCTGATTTATTAACACCAACTACACTCTGGTGATATTATAAACACCCAGAGTGCAGTGTAGATTCATGTACTAGGATAACACGTGAAAGACAATGAAGGGATTTAATTCTTTCCTATTCTATCAGTGGCTTACGTGTTGGCCTAACAAATTACATTCATATTTCCTACTTGCCATGAGTTAGACGAGTAGATTGATGTCACTCTTGTATCTGTCTAAATAAATATGAAGCAATGGTCATCTTAGCATAAAGCCTAGAAAGAGGAAAACCCTAAAACCCTGTTAACCTGGTTCTGTCTGAGCATCTCCCACAGCTTGTTGCCTTTACACTTAATTTTTGTAGAAATTAAACAAACAAGATATAATAGGGTAACTGGCATTAGAGGTGAGGCCATGCTAATGGCTGCTGGTCCATCTGTCCACCAAAGGCTGAAATTTCTATCATGGGTTGCAGTGAAATTTTGTGAAGACATTTATGGTCATAAGAGGATAAACTCTATCGACTGTGGTGACCCTCTGACCTTTCCTCTAGTGCCACCACCACCTCCAAACCTTCATTTACTACCAAATACTATCAATTATACTTTGTGTTTAGTGCTAAACACACCAAACAAAAATGGTCAACATGGTAACATTACGCTTGCATTGTCACTGTGAGCATGTTGACAGTAGCATGTAGATCAGGCTACAGGCACTGGCATTTCTGTAGTCTTGTTTGCCTTTGGACAAAACCAGCCTTATTTCCCCCCGTTTCCAGCTTTATGCTAAGCTAAGATAACCATCTCCTGGCTGCAGATCATATCATACAGATGGCCGACCAAGAGAATGATTACGACATTCATGCAGTGATGATTAGTGTTGTGTCATGCTCCAGTGTGTCACTACTGTCTGTCCGTTGTTGTGGTTTTGTCTATTTTGTGTCCATGTCTAATATTTGTGTGCCATTTCCTCTCACTTTAACACAGCCTCCCTGTATGGGCTATGGCGCCCGGGGACACGCTGACCTCCTGGTTACCTTGTCTCCCTGGATCCTGCTGTGATCAAAATCAGCTCAGCATGTAAAGCTCTGGCCATCAGGAGCAGCATCTGGGGCATGTTTTATTAACAGCACCATTAAATATAGCTGAAGGAATTACCTTGTAGTCATGAACAGGGCTCACTTCCCCTACTTAAAAACATTGTACATCATTTTCACTGACCTACTGAGAAAGGCCTTTGCTTTGAAATCTACAGTTGGCCCCTGGGTGTTTCTGACAGTGCTGACTGCTGAAGAGTACAGAGGAGGACAAACTGTAAGAACAAAGCTAAATGATTTAAAGGAGAGCAATGTGATAAATATATCAGACTTGAAGAAGTTCTTGTGGTGTGAATTGTCCATGTTTGCACATGGTTTTGTCATTTGCCTTGGTAACTTGCAGGATCTGTCACTTTGCCCTCTGGATTTCCTTCATCCTTCCTCGTCTTTCAAGGCAGAGAAGTGTCCCTGCATTTGTTTATACTAGCACAATCCTGCACAGTCTCAGCAGGTCACATCCTCCTGGTGGTAGCTGTACATGTGTTCTCCATCCCAAAAAGTGCACGTGTACTCAGTGTATGAACATTGTTTTTGTCAGATTTTAAATGAATACTGTACCTAATTGTTACTCATCTATTCAAAATGTTTCTCTTTGTGTTCATCCAGGAGGATGTTCCCCTTTCTGAGCTTCAACATCAGTGTTCTGGATCCGTCTGCCCACTATAACGTCTATGTGGACGTGGTTCTGGCTGATCATCACCACTGGAGGTACCAAGGCGGAAAGTGGGTCCAGTGTGGGAAGGCAGAGGGTAACATGCCAGGTAGATTTTATTTTAAAAAAGTCTCTTTGTACTACTTCATCTCTCCCTGTTGTGTTTATGAAGAGTCTGAGGTGTGAGAGTACTAAAGCTAAAGCGAAGTGTATCCATAACCAAAAATTCATCCATCCATGATCTCTACCATGTGTCCTGTAGAGGGCTATGGGGATGTTGGAGCCAATCGGAGCTCACACCGGGCAAGAGGCAGGGCGTACAAAGTGTTATAAAGAAATGATCTGAGAATAGTTTTATCTTATTATCCTGTACTCTTCAGAGATTTCCCCCCCGTATCCAGGAACGATGGATAAAATGAACAGAGCTTCCAAACTCAAATTCTGACAGAAAGTAGATGAGCTACGACCACCTGATCTGGTCAGTCAGTGAGCTGGGTCTTCAGCTCTGTGCAAGCAGCATGGACTCTGACTGTTCCTTTAACTTCTGTGCAATGCTGGAAATATTTTTTTCTTTATCAATACAATTAAAATCAAACTGTATTTTGAGTTTATAGCAAGATGTCTGTTCTCAGGTGTCCACAAGTTTTATCTCTGATGTGAGCTCATCGTGCATCCACCACTGAGGCTTGAGTGGACACGTCAGCTTTACTTCGCACAAAATTTCCATTATATGATATATCAGTGTCCATTTAGGTTTCCCAGTTCTCCTTAATCCATAAAGACTTGTTTGGATTTGACTGTTCCATCCTTTACAGTTCTATAAGAAACAAGAACTTGGCTTTTACTTCTGTTTCCATCCATGTGTTGTCATCCTCCATTCATTCATTATTTCATGTTCACACCTCAGAAAAACACAAAACAAAAGAATAACAAGTCAACCAAGACGAAATTCGGTGTGCGATTGATGACAGACAAACCACAATTATATAAATGAGAGAAACTGCAAGGTGTTATCACACATGCGCCAGGTGTTGTGGAAAGGTGACTTCAGAAGTGCTACAACTGTGGAAACTGTGGTGAAATAGCTTCACTCAATTAGATTTATTAGTGCCTTATGTGGTGTGCTCATAAGGTTACCAGGTCATTGTGGTAACATTGTGAAAAATAATGGTGCAGAGATTGTAACCTGCAAACGAAGGCTTCAAACATAAAAGAGTTGAAAACAACAATCATCCCTGTTTGCAGAAACTAGCTGGTAACTGTAATGGAAAATATGATTTGTAGGTAACATGATGGAAAAGTGGTATTTACAGTTCAGTAAACACACAAAAGTGACATCATCATCCACAGCTATTTATTTGGCATGCTGAATTTAATGCAATAAATATATTATACTGTGAAAAGTGATTGTATGTCTGAAATATTTAACACTCTAAATAGGTGCAGGACTTGTAGTTAAATGTGCGGCTAATGTTTTGGTTTTGAATCTACAGGGAACAGGATGTACATGCACCCAGACTCTCCCAACACAGGAACTCACTGGATGAGACAAGAAGTGTCGTTCAGCAAGCTCAAGCTCACCAACAACAAGGGCAGCACCAACAACGTGACACAGGTACTGCTCCTGTTCGCTGTCGGTTTTCTCTGATAACTCAGTCAGTGCATGTTTTATCTGCATGTGTTGTGACTGAACCAGTTCATTATTATTTCGACAACAAAATCGAGACATTGTGTAGTTTAAAGTACTGCTTACATAAATTGTCTAGTAGCCAGAGTATTAACAGCTTCTGCATTATACAAATATTTTAATTATGTTGTAGCACAAAAGTACAAGCAGTGTTAGTTTCCCTCATCATATTGTGGAAGAAGTATTCAGATCCCTTACATACTGCAAGTCAAAACAACAGTACCACAGTGTAACAATGCTCTATTACAAGCAGAAGTCCTGCATTCAAAATGCAGAATGGCACATTTCAGATTAATGTAAATCATATTATTAAGTGCTAATTCATTATTGCACACATCACATTTAGTGTTGCAACTGGTAAAGAGGAAGCTAGTTTTAACTGGCTAATATGCTTTGTATTTGAAGTACTTTGCATACTGCTGGGTAGATTGTGAAATTTCCACCACAGACCAATAAAGTCTTAAGATGATCCTGTAGTTTTTGTATTCATCTGGTTCACAACAGTAACTAAAGTTATGAAATAAATGTAGTGGAATAAAAAATACAATATTTGCCCTTAAAATGCAGTGAAGTCAAAGTATGAAGTTGCACAAAATGAAAATGCTCAAGTGCAGATACTTCAAAATTGTGCTTAAGTAGAGTACTTGAGTAAATGTACTTAGTTACATTCCACCCCCTGACCACAGTTATGGGGGGTCACAATGCATACTCTCTGAGTCTCTACTGTTTTATATCAGATGGCAAATGTTTGCAACAGATTATTTTTGAGAAAGAAAGAAACTGGTTTAATCAGATACTTGACCGTCAGTGTGTCTCCTCTCCAGATGATAGTGCTCCAGTCGCTCCATAAGTACCAGCCTCGTCTTCACATTGTGGAGGTGAAGGAGGACGGCTCAGAGGATGCCTTCCTCTCATCCAAAGCTCAGACCTTCGTTTTCCCAGAGACTCAGTTCATTGCTGTCACTGCTTATCAGAACGCAGATGTAAGTTACTTCAGTCACAAAAAACCAAACACGTTATGGTCAACCTCTGCTTAGTTTCCTTACTTTCAAATCTGCCTTGCAAAGAAGAAATGATCCATGATGTCCCATTTCTTTTGTTTCCATATTTTTGTTTGGTCTAACAAGCGGAGATCTATTACTGCATTTTGTTTTATTTGCTCACCCGCTTATTGTAACAACCACTGATTTTGGGAAGCCTACACAACACTGTCTCTTGTAACACCGTCTTAATGTGTTCACTGATTCATGTCAGAGCATATTTTAGATAAAAGCTTTGAAAAAAAGCATACACACTAGTTCCTACATTCTACTATGAATGTTAGCGTGACTTACTGCAGTATACAGGGTCCAAGTGCAGCTAACTCACCTCAGCTGACCTGAGTACTGTAGCTGTTAACAGCTGTTCACATACACGGTGAAGGAGTTACTGTATGCCAAGGAAAAACACACTCACCCCGCTTTATATGACGTTCGTTCTATCACATGCTGTAGGTGCAGTGTGCCCACTCTCTGGTTCTCGTTCCAAAAACAAGAGAAGAAATTGCATGATATCCTCATTAATTATTAGTCAGTGAGCTCTTTGCTTTCTGCTCTCATTTCTCTGGTTGCTCACTCCTTCTCTTTTTCCTATGCCCACATTCTCATTGCTCTCCTCCTGTTCCCTGCACAGATCACTCAGCTGAAAATAGACCATAACCCCTTTGCTAAAGGTTTCCGTGACAATTACGACACGTAAGTAATTTTCTTAAAGCTGTATTTGCAAAGAGAAGACTGCAGTAAATCCGGTTCCTTAGAGGGTAAAGAACATATCGTGATGTGAACCGTGCATTTGCTCAACATAAATAGTGAGACAGGATTAGTGCTGGTACTTAAATGTCATGCCATGTTTAATATTAGAATAGATGTAGTGGCTGCTCTGCTCGAGTGTGCTGCAGTGAAAGGGTGTCAGGGTCTGTAAGATGTTTGATAGATAGTTTGAGGTTTGGGCAGGAAATAACACCTTTTTTTCCCCTTCTTCTCGCACTCTCTTCTCTTCCCCTCCTCCTCCCTCCTGCCTAGGCTGTACGCTCCCCCCGACTCTGATCGCCTCACCCCCTCCCCTACAGAGAGCCAGCAGCTGCTGCCAGGGAGCTGCTACCCCCCGGGCTACCTCACCGAGCAATACATGAGCCCCCTGCCACAGAGCCGCTTCTACGGCCGCGAGCCTATCGCTATAGGCCCACAACACAAAGACCCAACCTCCAGCCCTGGTCCTCACAGCCGCTGGTACCTGCCTCCTCAGCAAGGTGTGGCCCCCAACCGGCTTGACCTCACTTCCTCCTATGAAGGGGACTTCTCTGGAAATGGTTTTTATAAACCCTTCCCCTTGCAGACATCCGCTCACCATGCACTCAGCTACTACCCAGACCATCCTTTTGCAGCTTCTAGTATGTCTGTATCTGGAGCCACCTCAGCAGGCTGGAGCACCAGCCGGCCCACCCCTCAGTACCTCAACCATCCCAGTAAACCTGGCCCCAGTCTGAGCTGGTTTAGACCCTTATCATCCTCTTCTTCTTCCTCATCTTCATCTACATCACCTGGTAACCCCAGGCTGTACCCTCCCTCGCTCCTCGAGTCTGTGCAGCTGCCCCTGCTGCAGAGCAAGCCCAAAGACACTGTGGGAGTGGTGGGAGAGGACCCCTGGCTTGAACCTCCCTCTGTAAAATCGGCAGACTCTGCAGACTCAGGTCTGTTTGAGGGCAGCGTGGGGGACAACAAGAAGAGGAGAGTGTCCCCTTACACGTCCAGCACTGAAAACTCCCCACCTCCACGCAGTGGGGACGTCTGCGAGAAGGACAGCAACAGCGATGCAGACTACTATGGCTACTACACCCACTGAAGGCCTCACGCATTGCCACAGTAGCCACAGGCGCTCCCAGCCCCTTCATGGACATGTATCTGTCCATTCGGGTTCAGGGGCTGCAGTCAAACACCAGAACCGCATGTACTGTCACGTCACCAGAGTCAACACAGTGTGGCCAGCCTCTCTATAAATTCCCTTTTCAAATAGTCACAGGAGGAACTTTCAGGGTTACTGTCAAAGTTAGTGTTGAACACAAGTGGATGTGACGGGGCTACTGCCCAGGAGTCACATAAACAACAGACAGACATAAAGACCTTTGACTTAAGCCTTTAAAACATCTTGAGAATTGGAAGAGAAACAGCTCTTCCTATCTGCTTGCTTGACAGATGCCTACAGGGATTGTCTGCTCCTTCTGCATCAGCCACTCTGTCTTTCTTGCTCCATCTTGTCTATCTCCTCCTTCTTGCCCTCAACTATTCACTCATACCCTCACAATATGCTCACGTTCATTTACCCTGATCATTGTGAGCAGAAATTACACTGAACTCACACAGTCTTGTCTGTGATCTGGGCCCAATTCATTTAGTGTGGCGCCCTCTAGTGGTAACATTGGAGCATTTCAGGCTGATAGTGCAGAGGCCGAGCATCTGAGGGAGCTAATGTCAGGGGGTTAAGAGAGCTTAGCGAGCACATGTTCTGAAGAAAGGCTACTAATCTGCCTCAACCCTGCTAGGAAAACGTTTTTATGTGTTTCTTTCTGTGTGTGTTGCTGTTAAATAAATCCAAAGCCACAGCAGAAATAGGAAATCTGTACATCAAACAAATTAGCATTTTCTGGTTCCAGCCATTCAAATGTGCTTTTCATATACTGTATAATAGTAAACTAAGTATCTGCTGGTCAGACAAAACAAGACAGAGAGAGATATGGAAAAATCATTTTAGGCTGTGGGAAATGTTATGACATTTTATAGATAAAATAATGAATCAAATAAGTAGGGAAATAATTCATTCATTCATTTTCTACCGCTTAATCCCCGAACGGGGTCACGGAGCCAATCCCAGCTGGCAATCGGGCAAAGGCGGGGTACACCCTGGACAGGTCGCCAATCCATCGCAGGGCTAACACAGAGACGAACAACCACACACACACACACACACGCACACACTCCTATGGGCAATTTAGAGACACCAATCAACCTTAGCTGCATGTCTTTGGACTGTGGGAGGAAGCCGGAGTACCCGGAGAGAACCCACGCAAGCACGGAGAGAACATGCAAACTCCACACAGAAAGGTCCCAGGTGGGGCCCAAACCCAGAACCTTCTCGCTGTGAGGCAACGGTGCTAACCACTGCGCCACCGTGCTGCCCCTTAGGGAAATAATCAGCAGATTAATTGAAAATGAAACACTGACTGCAGCCCTAAGCTTGACCTGTTTGTTGTTCCCAGAGCTTTCAATCATCTGTCATGGCTCTCTTCACTGGGTGGAGTGGTCGGATATGGGGTGAGATGGTAACTGTCTTTGTTCAGTGATGGTTTCTGTCTTCAGATGTGCATGACCCTCATCTTTCTCCAACTGTACGCAAATGTCCGGTTGATGACCTTTGACCTCCTCATTTTGTCTGTCAGATCACCACTTTTGGACAAATTACCCAGATTGCCTTAGTAAAGTGTGTGTGGGTATGTGTGGGTGTACCAAAGTTTTTTTGACTATCAAACAAGTGATGAAGCATACTGGCAGCTTTAAAGCATAAAGGTGGAACTTGCTTTGCAAACCTGTTCTCAACTGCCCCTCCAGGCTACAACTGGAAGAAGAAATTTATTATCAAACTGTACTAACAGAGGGTGTCAGTCAGGTCTGCTCAGTGTGGATACAAAATAAATAAAACTTAATTCCTTAGGGCAACTTCTCATTGTGCATCTCCTTTAAGGTAACTTAACGACAAGGAAGAGTGAAAAAGCAGGGTTGTTCCACCTGGCGCAGGCAGAAACAAGGCCAGCTGTACACTGCTTGCTTTGATAGAGTGAAACAAGCCTCATTAAAGCAGAGCCTCCGCCCTGTGCTACAGTCAGTCAATGGCAAAACAATCCTGTTGTCACAAACAAATAAAGTGCATGATCAGTGCCAGCTTCAATAACAGCGTAACTGAAAAACAGTTTTGGCTAGGGGAAGCATGACAGCCTTAAACACACACAAACACAGTCTCCACCACTGTACATGAGCAAAGCAGCGTTCACATTAGAGTACATTTCACATCATCTCTGTAGCACCACAACATGCTAATCCCAAAAATGGTCATGTTAGTGCACTTAGGAATCATGAATAAAATTATGCAGTTATAGACTTGTGGTAAAACTGAGTATTAAGACTAATAAACTTCCCTAATCCTGCATCTGCTTTACTGTAATGCTGCAGGTTTTCATCCCTTACAGCAGGAGCACAGCAGCGGTGCGGCAGACATGTTAAAAGTGGGTCACTCACAGTGGCAGCGTACACCTGTAGGTAAACAGACGAGGCACTGTCACCCTTAAGAGACAGGAGGCACAAAGTGACCAGACAGACACTCTGAATTTCCCTGCTAGTCCTTGAGTCTATCATGTGGTGACACTGGGTGACAGAGGCCCAGCACCCAGCCTCATGACAGAGATGAAGAGTGAGGCTGTAGTCGGCACTGATCAGAGATCTGCTCCTCATTCCTCACAAGATGTGCTAATGGCCTCAGACAACGCTGGGGGCGACAGACGCTGGGGCCCACTATGTGCTGAAAGAGCAGGGGTACCTGAACAGAGGGATTATATGATTCAAAATGTTTTGTGCAAAGCTGGACTAAATCTGCACACCCGCAATGCCGAGATGTACCGATGAAAACAGTACCAGTGGGCTACATTGTATATACTACTGTATACTTGGTTTTGTTTTTATTTGTAAGCTAAGAGAACAAACAAAAAAATGAGACAACCTTTGACGTTTTGGAATATATTATTCAGTTTCCTTCTAAGTGGATATAGAGGAAGGAGATGGTTAGTTTAGCTTAGCAAACAATGAAACAGCTAACTGAGCATTTTTATGCTTCAGTTTTTGTCTCAATTAAACACGAAAGGTATAATACAGAAATGCTGGTAGGAAGATCATGATATTTAATGTTTACACTCAAATCTGTCAGAAAAAGGGGAATTTTAATGATGTACAATGGTCAATCCTTATTACAAGTGCAATTAATAGAAAGAAATGTGTTTAAGACTGATGATGGAAATGAAGCACAGTGATCACTGGCCTGTGGGCGACGTCAGCTACGTGTTTTATGTGCTGTGGTTTGTTACGCGGTCCTCTCAGTGAATCTGCACCTGCATGAGTGCAACATCTCTCATCAAACAACAGCAGAAAGATGATTTCAGACGCCTCAGGAACAACCCCTGCTGGAAATCTCAACTATTACAATCAACTTCAGCCTATGAACCCAAACCCCTGATGTTAAACTTCTGATACCTGCACTTCCAATGAGTCTGTTTCCTGTGAGGGTGATATTTATTTTATGCACTTAAGAATGGTTTTATTTTATAACACACATAGGTTTACATACTTATATGTAACAGATATGCTTATATAATTATGAATATCACTTTATGTGTTCACTTAACTACTAGTCAAATATATGCCGTGTGAGTCACTGAAACACTAATGCAACATCATAAGTCTTGTCCACTAAATTACTGAATTTCATTAGATTTATGGCTGTAGCTAAGGGAGCTCATAGTTACGTATCGCTCCTCTGGACTGGTGGACCCAAAGGAGTCTTGGTACGGTAAGGCTCCAAGTTTATTAAAATAGATTAGACGTAGATGAGAAAGCTTCAAGGGAGAAAAGTTATGCACACACACCCAGGCAGAACAGTTTTAATTAAGTGAAAACAAAGGAAGAAGTGAGTGTGTATGTAGGAATTAAAGTTGTATAGGTATTCTTCCCCTTCCTAGGGCGCTGTCCACGATGATTGGAGCAGAAAGGACGGACGGACTGAAGGACCAATAATGGGAGAGTTAAGTCTAAACCACGGCTTCTCCCCAACAGTTTTGGACCAATTAGATAGTAGCACCTTTTCGTACAAATATTGAATACCACTAAGTTGAGGTCAGTCTTTTCTGTTTTATCCTAAACAATGAGGCTCCATGTATACATGCTAATTTTGATATGCTAATGCATAATAAATTTCACACTGAGAAATATATATATCCTCTTATTAGTCTTCTCTTTTCAATATAAAAAACGAACACGCCTCAACAGATTGGTGACCCCGACGTGATTTATTGAAGAGAGGAACGAATTGGATCAGCATCGGCTCAAGACTGGAGATTTCCAGCTGTGCCGGCCTGCACTCCCAGCCTCCTGTCACGCCTCACATTCCCATAAACCCACATTTTCCTCATGTAAAAGAGAATAAGGCTGTGTGTGAGAGCTGTATTTGCATAAATTTTACTGTATAATGCAGAAAAGGAGTGAAAAAGGGAGACCACACAGGTCAAGTAACAAGTTTATGTGAAGGAAGCAATAATCCTCCATTGAAGAGCTTCTAAACTGCAATGTGAGACAACTAAGAGATGAAGATTTTTCTAGGTTAAAAGTGTTATTTATTAAAGGTGGCTTAAATGTGTAATGTATTGTTTTTTATTCACGAAATTAAATGATGTAATTTTGAAAGAAATATCTTACTTATATTAATTTCCACTTCAGAATAAAAACACAATTGTGATGTTGACAGTGAATCCAGTGTTTCTGACCAGCTGAGTATTCCTTCCACTATTAATGACAAAAGAATGCACTGCCTTCTTTCTGCCTTTTAAATGTGTGTATGCTGAATGTTATTGGTTATTTTTAAGTGGTCAAATGTTAAAAATATTGATACTGTGAATACAGTAGGTGTTAGGCCTTATCAGTAAAACATCCTCCTTTAAGTAGGTGATAAACAGTCCTCTTCCGCATCTAGGTCTTAGTACTTGGGAAGCCACACGCTCCAAGTTGGAGGACTTGATTTGCAGTATGTCAGTACTGGTGTACCTCTACATAGGCAGGTACATGTAGACGCTGTAAATACACCGTAACCATGGCCGGATCAGCCTGGAAAGGGGACTGTATACCCCATTTCTAATCACATGGCTCAACACAAATTTGGTCAAATATAAATTTGTTTAGGCCTGACACAGTGTCCCTCTACAACTCAGCTGGAGATGACACATAATAATCATGAATTAATTATTAGAGCTGGATCTCAAACATGGCGTCTAGCCACTTGAATGAAATCTGCCCTCCTGGCGCATTCACCCAAAAAAATTTCTCTTCCAGGTTTGATTCCGTGTTGTGCAGCCCACTGCACATGCGTGTTTTCCTCGCTGCCTCTCGCCCGTGCACTCCCTCAGCACCAAATCCAGCTGGAATAATACATTCATGGCAATAATACCCCACTGCCTTAAACCTGCCGTAATGACTTTTTTTCATTTGGGTTGAGTCAGAAACAAGTTGTGAACACAGCACAGCGATATCACATTACGGAGCAGCATTATCATTATCATTACCAGCTTTATTATTAAATAATTTGCTCATTTCAACATCAGTTCTCAAAAGAATAAGATCATGACCTGAGTGACGTTACCTAGAAAAATAAAATACATTAGAAAATTTTTGATGAGGAGGTTCTACTCTCCTTGATGAACTCTGGGCAACTCGACAGGTGAGTTTCTGTTACGAAATGACAGCAGGTGGGGAAGTTACCTGTGACCAGTCGTGGGTGTAGAGATCAGCACCATCTCCACTCTGCAAATTACTCAGAGCAGTTCATATATATGTCCAAATATCCACACTTACGTTTAACCATCTTCTTCTGTTTTTGTCTGCTGTTGGCTGACGTTGCCTCTCATCACCACAGTTTAATGCTTTCAGTTTTAGCAAAACCTGGATTCTCTCTGCACTTCCAGTACGTCCCGTTTGTCAACCACACATCCCGTCCGCAGCCGTCTTTGGCCTTCCTGAAGAGGAAGAAGCAAATCTTTGGCATTACCATGAGTCATGCATTTGC